TTACTTATTAACTTAAATAAATCTTATAATGTTTAATAAAACACTATGATAGCTTGTGCCAACTGCCAACAAACGGTCCAACATGCTTAATATGAGCCCCATTGCATGTTAAAAACCAATATAAATCCGTGTTTTAATTTAAGATATCTTGACAAAAGACGTTTAGAAGACATTTTTGCACGTAATGCGCGAATGAAACAATTGTAAAACGTTATTTCTCTAATAAGCGTAAAACGACTCCGAAAACTGATCGAGTGTGATTACTAGAAAGCACATCGTCTAGCTGTATTTAAAAAAGACTAATTTCTTATCGCCTACTTTTTTAACTTGCCGAATGAAAACAACATTAATTATATTAATTGCGTCAGTTAAAACAAACCAGTTTAATTTTTAATGTAAATTTGTTTTGGCCACTGCTAGATGACTAATAAACTAACTGCATACTGACATAATAAATTAAATTATAAATTTTTAGCGGACTGAAACATAAATTATTTTAATTGCGTCAATTAAAACCCAGTTTTTTTTTAAAATATATAAATTTGTTTTGGCCAGTGCTAGATGATTAATAGGTATCAACTTCACACTGACATGAATTTATTTTTAAATTTTATACATTTATTATAATTAAAATTAAAATCGTTAAATGTATCAAAGGCAGTCTGATAGTGGCTTCAGTCACAGAAAAATTGAGATTGAGAAGTGTTAGACTAGCGTGGTATTAGCATTAATATAATTTTATTATATTAGGGGAAGTAATCCATGTTACAAGAAGATTGTTGGCTACGAAAGTGGATGGACATAAGAGTGGAGAAAGTAAAGTAAGAACAAAGTAAGAAAGGAGTGAGTGAAAAGATTACGACTAATAGGAGATTGGAAGAGAGAGCCATATTATGCCGACCGCAAATAACTTACGATAAGAGCTGAAAGAAGACGAAAAAGAGCTGGAAAATTGAGTTCTTAGCATTAAATGAACACAACTAAATCTTGTTCAGTTTCTTTTATTGAGGAGAGAAACGAGCAAGCAGCTCACCTGATTGTACTATTATCTAGATGTTAGTGCTGTTAGTCTATGTGAGTCTTACAGCTTCATCTGTCTCAGGGCTCGCGGCCTGCAAGGTCGCGAGCTAGTTAACCTGATTGTAAGTGACTTCCGCCACCCAATAACAACTGCAACACCAGAGGAATTGCAGATGCGTTGTCGGCTTTTTTTAAAAAGAACAGGCTCATAACTTTAAAGGCCTAAGTTTAGCCACCGATTCCATAATGAAGTTGTGCGAGGAAGAAAACTATAGTTTTAGTGAATGCCTTGAGCGCAATTTTTAAAGTGTATTCCTAAATTTATGAGTCCAATGGCCTCGGCCACGCTAAAACTATTAAATAATATATACTTAATAGGAATAAAATAGGGTTTGTTGTCCTTGAAGTGATTTTAGTTCTTTAGAATTAACAAGTTCCTAAAATTTTCCTACATTTATGAGTATGGTTAATCATATTTGCGGAATTTTCAATCAAATCACTATTGCATTTGCAGATCTTAGATATAGATGCTTAAAATATACGTATTTCGATAATTAGTATGCGTTTTTTTTAATAATAAGGCTGGCAAACGAGCACATAGTTCACCTGATGGTAAGTGGATGCTGTGACCCATTAACATCTACATCTATCCTTAATTTAGAATCAAAATACAGACGCGTTGCCACTTGCCACCCCTGAGGACTAAGATGAAATGCCTCGTTTCAAGTAAAAACGGTCTCCTGTTCTCTACATTCATCATACGAGGCAGCAGCATTGAGCTGCTGTTTTACGCTGGTTTTCTGCAAGGGCATGGTCCTTCCCCGGTCAAACCGACCCACTCGTGCTGCAACCATAATATAGCTGCAGCGTGGCTCTACCACGTTAAAACTTTATCGGATATCCAAAATCTAACTGGTAAACACCATATTATTTATAGTACTTATTACATAGAAGTCTGTATTATTTGATGGAATATTGGCGGGAATTTAACCAGCGGCGGACAGCTCCTATAGATGAAACAAGTGTTGCGATGGTGATATGAACCTCCAAGTTATTCTGTCTGTTAAGGTGCCTTTAGGTACGATGGTAATCAACTGTCTACTGGCTTAAGTTGCTCTCAAAATCTTCCAAAAACACCGCAATGTGTGGAAAAATAAATATACTGTGGAGAAATCTATTAACATATTAGGTAGGTATTATAGCGTTTGAAAGCATTTTTTATGGCTAAAGGTATTTCTACAAAAAATGAAAAAGCATTGGCTAACATATACCATACAGCCTTGCATAAAAATCGACGTCAATCATTTAAGAAATGATTAATGTTGCTTTCTCTCTTTCTCCCTCCCTTAACTATATGACTGTAGAAAGAGATAGGTATAAAGGTAAAACTTGACTTCCTTAATTTAACTATTTCACTGTCCCGTGAGTCATATATGAACATTTCAATTCAATATCTATTGTGTCTTTTTCACGGACAGGGACACTGGTAAATAAGCGATAATCTGCATCCGCATTTTGATTCGTAATCGAGGATAGATTTAGATGTCTATGGGCCACAGCAACCACTTTCCATCAGGTGGGCTGTGTGTTCGTTTTGTCACTTATTCTATAAAAAAAAATCGATTTGACGATCGATAATCAAAGTAACAACGTGCTAACAGTCCATCCGATGGAAAGTGGTCACTGCAATCCATATGCGTCGCAAACAACTTCAAACAATGAAAGTCACAGGTGCGTTGTCACCTTTTGAGCCATATAAGCCAATGCTTGACGTCAATTCCACCTGCTGGTAAGTGGTACTGTAACCCAAGATGGTTTGGCGCACTCACTCCTCACTCTTGCCTTAATTACACCTACACCTACACCGGTCATCAAATAGAAAGACAAACGCTGATAAGTAATTCCGCTCCATTGCTGTTAGGGTTCCCACCTTTTTAACTAAATATAATATAATTTATTTGAAACGTCATTTCTCCCCACAAAATATTTGAACTCTATGCCTAAGTTTAGATAACACTGTTCCTTTTCATCCCATCACTTAGCATTCGTTAAAAAAACTAAATAACGCTGAAGTGACGGGAATGGATAGCAGACATGACACGATCTTGCATAAACTTACAAAATCAGCACTACTTAAAAAATATTTTGCTATTATTGTGAATTGGATAAATCTGAAAAATTGTCAGAATTATTTTCTTGTGTTAGCTTAGTTCTTATATAGCGTGTTGTGTATCATTGGTAAATAGCATTAAAAGCAATACTTTCATAATCGTAAAAATATGTAAAATAAAGTATTTTCACGTAATTTATTGGTCTCACAAATGTTGAAGTACTTTTACTCGAAATAACATTATTGTAAATTACGGTTGGCAACCCTAACTGTTGTAGATGGGATATGTTGTAGGAACACGGATTTAGGAAGGAGAGGAGGAAAATTCCTACGCGTGCACACACTCCGCAATGTATCCTTAGAATACAGAGAGGGTGGCTACTTTGTCTGGCCTTGAGACTGGCAAGATTATCTTTAGCCGGATTGAGGTCACCAACCTCTTAGATAAACGGTATGCCTAATACCTATAATCATACGGGATCTCTGCACTTTTCGACCAGAACACAGTCATGAATTGTAAAGTTAATTATTGTACAGTGGGTTGGAACCTTCTAGTAGACTATTTTGCTCATTCTCTTACCTATCCAAAACTATGCTAACTTTAAAGAAACACACTATATCTTTTTATTATAATATGTAAGTACTATAATTCTATTTCCAATATTTTCCTGTCTGATTCAATAAGAAGTAATTGAGATCTTCTTCTGAATAATTCCTTACTGGTGAAAGGACCCCCGAAACGTATTGAGACAGTTAGTTACGGTTCTTGTAAATGTAATCCGAAAAATAAAACCTAATGTAGCTGATGAGATGATCTAACGCACAAATTATAGCTAAGTATATTACCAGACATTAAAACCAATTGAAACTAAAATTCTAACCTGTCTTATTTACTATTTAAAAAAAAATCTATTTCTGTGGAGATTCATTTTTAAAAAAATGTGCGGAAAACGATATTTTTACATGCTAAAGAATTTCCTCGATTTGTCTGTTTATTATTATTTTTAAAATGTAATTAGTTTCTACATTTTATTTTTAATTACTCCCTTGCTCTGAACAAACTATGCAGACGTAACAAGACAAGATACCTATCTAACCTAAAAAATAATAACGTCCCATGGAAAAAGTATTGTGGGTGTTTTAAAAATAATGCGACAAGTAAATCACAGATTCTTAATTTCAAAACAGCTAAAGAAGAAATTTTAATAATATAATTAATAAAAGTTGGCAATCCTACCTTAAGTTTCTTAGACCATTTCCTGATTTCTTGATTATCCCATTAGGAGTTTAAAAGCTAATGGGTTAACCATTGATTTATAATTTTAACAAAGTTAACAAAGATTTATAAATATGCATAAAACCGCGGACAGAGTTTGTTAAAGTAAATATAGAAATATTAAATTTAACCAAGTATGTATTTTGTTATCCAATATTTTCTAAACTTTATTTCAATACATTATCTTTATAATTATTTGTACTTTTTTCTGGTAATATTTTGCAATAGATTTTGCCGAAAATACCAGTGTGCATGAAAGGTACTGGTATTTTATACGAAAAAGTGCACATAAAAATACTTAATATCGAGTATGAATAGGGTTCTTTCTTCAAACAAATTACGTAGAAAATATCCTTGAAAATGATGACAGTTTTTAGTTATAAACAAAAAAAATAATATTAAATATAAACCAATATATTTACATACTTTAACAATAGAAGGAACGAAAAATAATATTTCACAATTTAAATAAGAATACCAAAAATATTCTAAAAATCATCTAAGAATAATAGTTTCCGAACTAAAACTAACCGTAACAACGAACGTTGCAAATTTGAATTGCGAAAAGAAATAATGATAAGAAATAGTACTAACTTTAGCTCCAATCTGGTTTCCGCACTGGCCGGCTTGAAGATGCACTATTTCCCTCATATTTGTGTGTTTTATTTAATTTCTTAGTAACTAAAAATATTTAAAATTGAAGTTAAATTGGCGTGTATCACCGCGGCCGCTCACGCTCAACCAACTGACGCCACAGTACCGAGAGCGATAACCGAGTGAAATGAAAAAGGAAGAAGTGAAGAAGGAACGTACGGCCGAGTTCTAAACGGGGACGAAACGAACGAATGATTATACCGTTCGGGGTGCGAATGTGGCTAGCTTAAAAAAATTACCAAACTAGTAACTTTTGTTAGTTTCAGATTCGATGGAAATACTTTATTCGTGTGAAATCTTAAATTTGTGACACAAAAATAGTTCATCCATCACGAAGTATAAACCGTATTTTTAACAACAAGAGTTGAATTTTATAAAATATAATATTACACCGAGGTATACTTGTATAAAAGAAACGACCAAATATGGAATAAAAAATTATTGCTATTGTATTTGTTACTACGTATGTGTTAACTTTTTTCTTCTCTGTCAGTCTGTTCCGTACAAATTTTAAATTGGTTTTAAAATAACTTTTCCATGACCTAGAGACCTAGAGATGACCTATTACAGAGATTTGAAACTATAAATATAACTCAGAACTGGATGACAATATTATAAAAAGTGCATTTCTTGTCTGTCTGTTTGTTTGTTTGTCTGTTTGGTACGAATTTTGTAATCGATTATAAACTAACTGTAAAATGAGCTAAATACTTGGAACTTTTAACTGCTCGTGGAACTTGCAAAAAAACTGATTTTGAAATAAGTAATTTTATCATAATATTGGATTTTACTTATATTATTAATTTGTGGAAATGTAAACATATTAGAATGTAATTAATTTTACGAATGAAACAAACTACATTAGTTTAGTTAGAAATAAAATATACTTAATTGTAAGATATTTGAAGAAGTATACTGACAACTCCAGGAGATGATTCATACTTCATAGGAAGTCCACACGACGTATTAATTCATGTGGGTATGTATACTGTACAAGTAATTACATTGTCTGTATGAAAATTCATTTGAAACCACTTAATAACTAATAATACCTATATTGGATTTTATTTAAGTAAGTAACTAAGTCCACCAGTTGTCAAGTGGATAATGTGGCCCATGATAAAAAGGGTATACACTATACAGTTCTCAGCACTCACCATACGAAACACAGCATTATACTGCTATTTTACGCTGGTATTCTGTGAGCCTACGCTGCTGGATAGCCTGAATACAAATGTTACAAAACTTCATAGCAGTTGAGTTAATCTTTATAGACCTTCATCCCCCAGTAGATTTAGCAAAGGTTATAAAGAAAAGATAATTTATCTTAATTGCGTTGTAGAGCCACGCTGTAAGTGGTTGTAGTACGAATAGATAGACTAGGGTAGGACCACGCTCTCACAGAATACCAGCGTAATATAGCAGCTCAACGCTGCCGCGCTTTGCATGGTGAGTGTAAAGCACCCTCTTTACCGGAAACGAGTTATTTCATCTTAGTCTTCATGGGTGACAACGCATCTGCATTTTGATTCGTAATCGAGGAACAAATTCAGGTGGACTGTGTTCTCATTTGTCACCCTTATTCTATAAAAAATAATCTTCATTTTAGATTTTATCCCGAAGAGAAATTCGGAGCACAGCCCTTTCCAATGCATGCTGAGTCACTTTGAGCTGCTCCATACGACCGGTAGTGAAGGGCCATACTTTTTAAACTTATTTCAAGCCAGTGCTTAATTAAGTGATGATGTAACCGTAGATGGTAAATATCACTGTCTCAGCGTATCCCGTGTTGTGGCGGTATAAGCATATCAACTACAGGCGACAGAGGGAATCAAATGAGGAGATGGGCAGCTGTGTCTTCCTGATGACAACTCAAAGTTATAAGAACCTGCCGTTGCCGAAGCGCTTGTGCAGCGTGGCAACTGTGGCAACTGTTGCTAAAAACCCCCTATGAGGCAATCTGGGGGAGGCCTATGTTCGGCAGTGGACTTTTATAGGCAGTTAGATTGTAATGGATGCATGGATGGAGCGTAACAAAAGCCTATTCTTTCTTGCCTTCAAGACATGCAGATTATAATCTGATGGATAAACAGACCCTTTTAACTAAACATTCAAATATTTTAAGTTTTAATATTTGTCAAAATTGTAGTTTGCAAAAAATGTAGCCTTTCAGGATGTTTATTCAATTCTAAGTCCTGTTCTGTCAAATTGCCATATCAAAATATGCCACTGACCTTTAACAATCATGAAACATAAAAATAAAATAAGAATTTTGTGTATACACATAATGGTGTACACCTGTTAGCGAGCGAATGCTTATTTTCATTAACACCGTCATCCATTGGAATAAAAGTACCTTGAGACTTACTTTTTTTTATAAAACATAAATGACATACGAATACATACAGTCTTCTTGATCTTAGCTGGCTACTGCAATTCACAGGCATTATGCTAGGTCGCAAGTTATAATTATCAAGTGCCACATTATCTCGCATCATTCGTCACGTCCTTAATTGATCAGTATATCATCGAAAAGTCAGCAGAAACAAATGAAAATTGCACGGAAGTTCGTAGCTAAATCATTACAAATTATTTGCTGAAAAATCGATTTTGACCAAACCGGTTTTCCCGGAAAAAACAAGTTACCGTTTCCTTTTATTAAGCTAGCAGTACTCTTACTGAAATCAAATATGACTGGATGAAATCTTTATCAACAAGGGCCCGCCACACACTATATACGGAATTCCGTTTCGGAATTGTCGAATGGCCGACACATACCCCCAGAAGACACAAGTTTGCGCGTTAACCTCTAAAAAGAACCCCTTTGTCGTATCTCCTCAGTTTCAAGGCCTCAACCAGTATCGGAATCCTCGGCGTCGAAATATCGAGCGACGCTTGGAAGAGAAGGCCAAATTGGCCTCTAAAAAGCTTGGCGTGCTCAGCAGAGCGGGGCGGTATTTCATGCCGGCACACCGCCTGCAACTTTACAAGGCGCAGGGTCGGCCGCACATGGAATACTGTTCCCATCTCTGGGCTGGGGCTCCCCAGTACCAGCTCCTTCCACTTGACTGCATCCAGCGCAGAGCGGCTCGAATAGTCGATGACCGAGTGCTTTCCGATCGGCTCGATTCACTGGCGCTGCGAAGAGATGTTGCATCTCTTTACATTTTCTTTCGCATATACTATGGGGAGTGCTCTGAGGAATTGTTCGGATTAATCACAGCCCAAATTTCGTGAACGCACTACGCGGCAAACGTCCCGATACCATCCACACCATTTGGATGCTTGGCGTTCCACCACTGTATGTTTCAAAAGGAGTTTTCTTCCGCGTACGACCTCTCTGTGGAATAGTTTACCACCGGCGATTTTTCCGGACCGATACGACCTGGGGACCTTCAAGAAAAGAGCTTACTCTTTTCTAAAGGGCCGGCAACGCACCTACAATTCCCCTGGTGTTGCGGTTGATCATGGGCGGCGGTAGTCACTTAACATCAGGTGAGCCGCATGCTCGTTTGCCCCCTCTTCTATAAAAAAAAATACGGAACCCAGTTTTTCCCGTAAAATTTCGAACGGAAAACTACCTTCGATGTGTGACGGTTCAGTGGTTTTATATGGACTTACTTCGTTCGGAATCCCGAATAGGAATTACGTATGAATGTGGCGGGTCTAACAGTTTCCCTGTACGCGAAACAGATACAACATATACGGAATCCCGTTTTGCCCCCAAAACTCTGGAAAACCGTGGGTGTATGACGGGTCGTTAATTTTATATGGACTTGCTGTGTTCGGAATCCCGAATCGGAATTCCGTATGTATGTGACGAGCCTTAACGTGCGTTTATGATTCATGGGACACAGGGGAAGGAGGTTAGGCCTGCCACATACGAAATTCCGTTTCGGGACTCCGTTTTCGAATTCCAAAACGGAACGAACGGGTTGGCCACACACATACGAAATCCTGCTTTGCCCCCAAAATTCCGTACGAAAAATTACCGTAGGTGTCCTCATTGATTTTATATGGACTTGTTCATATTGATGCGTTCGGGATCCCGAATCGGAATTCCGAAACGGAGTCCCGAATTGGAATTCCGTATGAATGTGGCCAGCCTTAGATAAGGTATCGTTCGTTTATTTATTTACTTTAACCCTCTCAAAAATGAGAGGAGGGCCGTGCCTAGCTGTGGAACGTATGTAGGCTGTATTTATTAAAGCAAGTGTGAACTGCGCAAGTTCTTTGGAGATGTAATACCAGATTTAAATCTGAAGTGAGATTACACTTATTAAAATGTTATTAAAAAACTAACAAATATCTTGTACGTAAAATTGAAGTTCCTTCGGAAACTGAAGATCACTTGTTACCGTTTTTAAGTGGTAGAAGATTAATTAGATTTTTGTGTTTTATTAATAAATTTGTACCTGTGTTTTATTGATAGGCTAAAACCTATCTTATATATTACCCACCTGTTTATTATTTATGAAATACCTAATTTAAACTAATAACATAATTACATAACGCATAGGCATCAATCTTGGCGCCTTTTTTCCAACCTTTTTTTATAAAATAAGGGTGACAAACGAGCGGACAGTCCACCCGATGGTAAGTGGATGCTGTGACTCATAAACATCTACATTTATTCAAAACGCAGATTCGTTGTCACCACTGAGGACTAAATTTGAATGCCTCGGTTCCAGTAAAAAGGGTTTCCAGATTTCTACACTCACCATACGAAACACAGCAGCATTAAGCTGCTATTTTACGCTGGTATTCTGTGAGAGTGTGGTCCTTCCCCGGTCGAGTCGACCCATTCGTGCTACAACCATAATATAGCAGCAGCGTGGCTCTGCTTCATCTATGTATCAGTATTTATACGACACCTGCAGACGCTTGGCATGATGGTTAATGGACTCTATATCTTAGGGTTAAATACATGAAATTCACTCTAGTACTCTTAATTAAAAGTTACTAGAAAATCAACTTGGTATTGATTTATTATGAAG